AGCCAGAAATAAGGCTGCCGCGGAGGGAAGAGGCGGCAGCTCGCTGTCGTGGCCCTTGAGGACGAGGGAGGGGATTCTTTCGTCCTGGAGTCGATACTAGCTCAGCTCTGTCAAAACAGCGCATCCTCGGGGGGACCGAAGCGGTACCGATCTCTGTCGTCCGAGTTTGGTGCGACAGCCGAGAGCTGGGAGCGTGCGTAGCAAAATAGGCTTTCTGTCTACGTAGGCCTTCCTGCTGTTGTCAGATGTAGACCTGCAAAATGAGTTGGGCTGCTTTCGGTTTTCTGGTGCGTGTGGTGGTTTTTCTGTTTTGTTTCGGTGTCTTTTATTTTTTGTTCTGTTCGTTTGGGTTTTTCGCAAGAAGTCAGCCTGCGGAACCCGTAGGTATGAGAGGTTCAACGAGATGAGCGCAGGCGTGCTCGCGCTTCTGCCGATCGAATGGGTTGGTCGATTTGGTTGTTTTATTGACACCCCCGTTGCTTTATCCTGAGTAGATGTAGGAATTTCACCGTTCTCCTGAAAGCGCGGTAGTAACATCTCACGAGGTGGTGAGGATGCGGTAAACCGTAAAAGCCGTGTTGTGAAAATTTGCACCGGGTGGACTACGGATGTAGAGGCTGCGTTTGTCTCGTTTAGACAACCTGCAGTTGCCTGCAGCTTTTACACGGAAGCTGTAGACACCGGGTGAGCGAGTGCAGGATAGGAGAAGAGCGCCTGGAAGGTTATTACGGGGAGAGAGACCGCGTAGCTTCTTCGAGGCTGAAGAGGCAGCGGGTGCTGTGTAGGAAGAAAATGCGTCTGCCTCGTTATGACTTTCCTGCATTTTCTCTCGGTTTGCGGAGAGAAGAATGAAGGGAGAGCAGATCCGTCCACCGTAAGGGATCTGATCGAGGATGCCATTGTCAGCACGCAGCCGGCCATGATGGTGAATCTGAAGGCCTGCGCCGCCGGAGCCGGTGTGGTAAGGCTCTCTCCTCGTGTCATTCTTGCGCCTCGAACGCTGTGCCCCGGGGCGCTTTTGAGGGCTGAGGCGGGAATCCAGTAGTTGAGACTCGCTTCTGGGCGACGGGCGCATCCTGACCTGCGCTATCGTAGGAGCTGGGGTGCCGTGGCACGGGGACTAGGGATAATTAGAAACTGCTCTGAAGGGCAGCTCTGTTTTACCTTGTTTCCCGAGTGCCGGTTGCGTTGAGGCGGAGCCGAACTGGCTGAGATGCCCCTCTGTTTTAGCAGTCTCCCCGTTGCCCCGAACGCCGAGGCTCTGTCCAGGGCAGCCTTTACAGGCACGAAACGGTCTACGGTGTGTTGTCTTTGGTTGTCTGTCTGGCAGCCGGCAAGCTTGTTCTTGTCTGTCTCTCTGCCTTAAAGTTCCCGTCTGAAATAACAAGGGACCCGCTGGAGGCGGACAGCCTGGGGAACCCGCAGCATCTCTTGACAGCTCTGTGGGTATTCCCCTACGTCGGTGTGAGAAGCCTCTTAGTAGATGCAAGGATGAACGTCGTGCCTCTTGCCGCTGTCTGCTGGTGAGCGAATGATAAAGGTGTCTCCCTGTCGTCATTCCTCAGGTACCCAGCAATAAGCTGACTCGAGAGTCCCCGTCCGGAGTTGCCGCGGCCCCTCTGGGTTCTAAGCTGGTGCTCCGGAATCTTCGCGTGCTGAACTTGGGCTGCCAGGAGAAGGGAGGTAAGCGTGAAGACATCGCTGATCTACAGGGGCAAGCGTGCTTGTGGTGAGACTGGGGCGAGTGGATGTTTCGGGTGGGTTCGAATGGAAAAGAGGGGCGTGGGTCCTCTGAGCCGGTGCCTTGTTTTGACGAGCGCACGTGTGCGCTCTGTCCCTGTGTCGCAGGAGTTGGGGACGTCTGCTGCGTGGCAGAGCTGGACAGCCCCCCGCAGCAGAAGCGGACGAGGCCGGTGACGGCCGGCGGTGCCGGTGCCACAGCAGAGATAGAGTGGAACGAAGAGCTCTTCCTGTAAGTGTCTACCCTCCTTCCGGCTGGCGCGGCAGAGGCAGACCGGCACGATCTCTGGGTGTCGTTACAACACCGCGGTAACTGACGGGGCGGCGGGCGGGAGCGGCAGGCGCTGAGGGCCTGGAGCGTAAATCCCAGCCTTCTGGACAGATCGCCCTCTCGGCTTCTCTTGACAGCCTACGCGGTCCCGCAAGGGGACGTGCACCGGAGTTGTCCTCTTCTGTGTAGTTTGCTGCCCCTTGTTGTGTGCTCCATAGTAGTGCACGCGTCCTGGAGCTTTGGAAAAGGCGACGAGGAGCGTGAGATTAGAGGGAGGGAGGATACGGAATGGGGTCGTCTGCTCCGTGGCCGTTTTGCAAACATTGCCTAATGCCAGCCTGTCTTTTTCTGTTCCGACAGGGAGCTGGGACCTAGAAGCAAAGAGCTGAAGCTACAGGTGCTGTGGAACAGCGACGGAGGGAGAAGTGAGTACAGGCAGCCGTAATGGATTGTAAGATGGGGAGACAAAAATGCCTGAGGCGCTTCCTGTGCTTTAGGCCTGCGGTAGTTCTGTGTCAGTACGATGTGCGATGAACTCTGAAAAGGATTTTTCGTATCCAGCTTTACGTGAGCCTCTGACTGCGTTAAGTGACTCTGGAGTCTGTTCTGCTTAGGGACACGCTCTGCCTCTGACCTTTTCGGTACATGGGAGGTTCCCGTGGCCCGCCCGTCTCCACTGCATTGGAAGAAGGTTGCGGAAGGGTCATTGGTAGTCAGTCAGAGACTAACCGCGGCACATACCTTTCGCGGAGGCCGCGCAGTGGCCGCCCCTTTAAGGGAGTCCATTTCTGGGTCGGTAAAGAGGAGCGGAGGAGCGCTGCCCGCCCCCTCCCCCCCTCGAAGCTGGGAGGTCCCCGAGTCGTGGGGATCTGCTTCGTTGGCCCGCCGGGCCTCTTTGCAGAAGCAGGGGTTGCTTGGAAGACATCTGAGGCGCTGAGGTTATGCGGTGGGTTTTGTTTTCCTGTTCCTTTTCACAGATGTGCTGCTGGCCCATGCCACGCTTTTGCTCGATTCTTTGGGCAAACAGCCGTCGGGGAGACAGGTCTGCTCGCTGGCCCCGGGAGCTGGGCGGTCGTTGGCGGCTGAAGCTACCGTTATACTGGAGGGGCTCACGACTCTTTAAGCTCGGCACAAACGCGTGCTCTGGAAGCGTTCGCCACGTGAGCCTCTAGCCGAGGACGAGCACGATTAGGCCTGGGCTCGTCGCAGAGGACCGGCAGACCCTTAGGCTGGGGAGGGGCGTCACCTGGCCCTGGGTCCCCGAGCCTCCCTCCGTTTGACCGACATTGTAGCGAGGATGGCTTCTCGGTGCCCGGAGCCGTAGTTTTTGTCACCCGTTGGCCTGCCTTTCTGTCTAGGAGGAGGAGAGCCTCTGAGATGTCCTTTGCTCTTTGCAGCTGCTATTCCAGGAGTCTCCTGCAGCTTTGAATGCTCAGCACGCCTCGTCTTTGCGAACCAGCATCACCCCCACTAAGAAGGTGGAGATGGACCGGACCATCATGCCCGATGGCACCATCGTGACTACTGTCACCACGATTCAGTCCCGGCCCAAGGCAGACTGCAAACTGGGTGAGGCTGTCCCGCGACGGGCGTCTGGTATGGGTGGCCGCTATGGGGGTACAGACTCGGCTGCAGTGTTACCGAGGCCGCTCACGCGGGCAGTAGCAAAATTACATGGCCATTAGATGTTGTGCTTGTTGCAGACTCGCACCTTGCGTGGCGCGTTTGGCTTCTGGGTCGGAACGCGGGCGTCGTTGCCGTTCCCGTAGCATCTTGCGGCTGGCTGGAGACCCACGCGTAGCCTTCGGGAAGGGAATCGATGCAGCCCCTGTGTTTGGGGGGAGGCGAGAGAGGGATAGGCCTCTCTGACGCCCTTTGACGGTGGGAGGTCCCGCCTGTAACGTGTATGGTGCCGCATGGCGTCTGCGTGGTGTCGGGCTAAGCGTTTTACCGCTCTTTGCTGCACGTACTGAATGTACGTACTGAACGTACGTACTGAATGGGGAGCCGAAAGCGTGTTGACCTTGCTTACCGGCAATTGTTGCTGCTTGCGGTCGGACGTCGCGATGAATGATGTGCTGGATGTTCCGTGAGGTGGGGCTGGGAAACAGCGTGAATGAGGTCTCGCGACGGGGCTGCTTCGCACGTCTTTTTCCAGTAGGCTTCTTGCGATTTCGTTGCCGCAAAGCCTCACGGAGCCAGCCTCTGTAGGCTGTCCGCGTGCGCTCGAGGCTTTTTTTGGCGTGCACGCAGGGGGCCACGGTACAGTACTGAAGTTGCCTAAGCTTCGTCTCCACTGACTGGTGTCTCTGTGTCTCCGCCTCTCTTTCGCCGTGAAGATTCACCGTCGAGATCTCCTTCCAAGGTGGAAGTGACTGAAAAGAAGACAACGGTGCTTCTGGAGAGCGGCTGGGCCCGCGGCCCGTTGCCCAGCGGTAGCCGTAAGTGCTTGGAAATCTGAGGCTCTTACCGGAGCGACTGCGTTCCTTAGCCTTTCTTGGAGGGCGACAGTCTGAATGCGGGTCGCTGAACTCATCCGCGTTTGCGGCAGAGGAGAATGTCCAAGCGCCCGAGCGAAGGCGGGGGCGGAGGGGCGGGGGGGGGGGGGGGCCGGGGGAAAAAATGTGG